CCAAAGGTGCTTTTTCAAAAGGCCATTGGACTTCGTTTTTTCTTGGAATTGTTTTGCTTCTCATCCAAGAAGCTTCTTCAGTTCTGACTACACTCTGTTGATGATTTTTATTGCATTGTGAGTCACCCAGAGTCGCTTTGGCCAGTGAGATGGGTGGCCTATGAATATGGTGAAATAAAATCAACCTAAAGGATCAGCCATGGTTCAGAGGGGCACCTAACTGTAGTTCAGCTTCAGATGCTGGCTTGCTGCTTACGTTTTCACACAGACTTGCAAAGCGCCTGCCATAGACCTCCTTAAGGATGGAATATTAGCACTTGGGAAATAAGAATAAGAATAATAACTTTACGGTCACTTTAGAATAGAATAGAGCTGGAAGGGACCTTGGAGGTCTTCTAGTCCAGCCCCCTGGTCAAGCAGGAGAACCTACACCCTTCTCAGACAGGTGATTGTCTAGTCTGTTCTTAAAGATCTCCAGGGATGGGGCGCCCATGTGTACACATGAAGTTTCGTTAGGGTAGGATAGGGTAGGGTAGGGTAGAGTAGAGTAGAATAGAATAGAATAGAATAGAATAGAATAGAATAGAATATGGAAATATGGAAATATGGAAATATGGAAATATGGAAAGGAATAGAATAGAATAGAATAGAATAGAATAGAATAGAATAGAATAGAATAGAATAGAATAGAATAGAATAACTTTATTGTCACTTTGAATGTACACTAATCGGCATTCATTAAAATGAAATTTCGTTAGGACAGGATAGGATAGAATAGAATAGAATAGAATAGAATAGAATAGAATAGAATAGAATAGAATAGAATAGAAAATAGGGTAGGGTAGAACAGAACAGAACAAAACAGAACAACAGCATAGAATAGAATAGAATAGAATAGAATAGAATAGAATAGAATAGAATAATAACTTTATTGTCACTTTGAATGTATACTAATCGGCATACATTAAAATGAAGTTTCGTTGGCGTTCAGCTCTCTCCAAGGGTCACCCCCTCCGACAGACACCACACAAACACGACAAAAACAAATAAATAAATGCAGAATTATGCACGTACCCACATGTATTATCGGACGCGGAGAAACAACAGTCTCGTTTGGGTTATTACGTCACGGAAATCTTTTAAACAGCCGCGAAATATAGCCCTACTAAACATTTTCGACTCCTGCTCTCCGTTCTATGCCTTCAGTTGTGTTGACTGAATTGGCTGCAGTCTAGGGAATCTGCCTAGGTCCCCAGGGCTAAGAAAAATGTCTCCAGCAGGAAAGGAAGGCCCGCGCTTGGGCGTGTGTGGTACTTAAAATAAGATATAAATCAGCTCGGACAAGGACTGCCCATCAGCTTTATTAACTTTGACCTTTTCCCCCCCATTACAAAGATGGCTCGGTAAATATTTAATGGGCTCTTCCAGATCTTGACAGTGGAATCTCTGTTCCTGGAAGCCGAAGACCTGGGAAGGGGGGTGGGGTCCTACGTGATTAACAGACATGGTTTAATCAAGAGGGGTTGGCCACCCAACACAAAAAGGGCCTTCTGTTTTTAAATAGAAATAATAAAAAAAAAAAAGTTTGAAATCTTTCCCCGTGAGAGATTCTACGACGACGACTTTAGGAAAGCTGTAGCAAAGTAGAGAGGGTGTTAAAAAGCAGAGGCGTCCCGTTGCCCACAAATGTCCCTGCAGTCAAAGGTATAACAACAACAACAACAATAATAATAATAGTAATAGTAATAATAATAATAATACAGTTGGAAGGGACCTTGGAGGTCATCTAGACCAACCCCCTGCTCAGGCAGGAAACCCTGCCTCCAGGGTGAAGGGAATCACTATTTGCAGCCTTCCCTGACAGCTTCCGACAAGCCAAGCCAAGTTGGATCCGCTTAACGACCATATGATCATGCAGTGATTCGTTTAACAACTCGTGGGGGGGGGAAACAGCAGTAAAACTCTTAATGGCTGTTTTTATACTTACGACAACAGAAATTTTGGTGGTCGTGAGTCGTAAGTGCTTGAGATAATAATAATATCATCATCATCATCATCATAAAGCTGGAAGGGACCTTGGAGGTCATCTAGTCCAACCCCCTGCTCAGGCAGGAAACCCTATACCATTTCAGACAAATGGCTGTCTAGTCTCTTCTTAAAAACTTCCAGTGTTGGAGCATTCACCGCTTCTGGAGGCAGGTTGTTCCACTGGTTAATTGTTCTCACTGTCAGGAAATTTCTCCTTAGATCTAGGCTGGTTCTCTCCTTGATGAGTTTCCATCCGTTGCTTCTTGTCCTGCCTTCAGCTGCTTTGGAGAAGAGCTTGACTCCCTCTTCTTTGGGGCAGTCCCTGAGATACCGTAACACTGCTATCATGTCCCCCCTGGTCCTTCTCTTCATCATACTAGACAGACCCAATTCCAGCAACCGTTCCTTATATGTTTTAGCCTCCAGTCCCCTGATCCTCTTTGTTGCTCTTCTCTGCACTCTTTCTAGAGTCTCAACATCTTGTGTTCAGCAGAGGAGAAACTGAACAGTGCGTTTTCAGTTTTGCCTGGAAAAAAAAACACACAAAAAAAGATCATACATTGGCTCTTAATGCATACTGGAGCGGCGAAGATGGCGCTCTTGACATCTTGAAGCATTGTCTTTCAAACTTTCAGCTGTCCCCCTGCCTTTATTGATTCCCCATTTAAGGCCTCTGACGTGAGAAAAAACAGATTTGCGCGAAATTTCTTCAGCCTCAAGACGAGGGTCTCGGGGTGAAATGGTTCCCCCCCTCCCTTTCTCCGGCGGAGAACGACTCCACTTTTATTAAGAACGCGATAAGTCTTCAGACGGCCCTCTCTAGATTGTGTGATATATATATATATCGGCTGGCTGAAATGAGAAAGGTGTTAAGAAGCAACGCCACGTTTTTTGCTACGGGTCCTGCCGATTCCGCTCTTTTTGTCCCTTCATCCATGTTTTACATGGATGAAGTTGATTTGGGGGCTTTTGGGGGTCTTGCTTCCTTCATTATTCTGCAGATGTTGGATGTAACAAGATGATTTGCTGGATATGAGTAGGACCCGATTCATTGGAATTGGCCTTGTGGTTTTTTGGGATCATTCCTTTGTTTTTGCTGCTCACTCTGAAAGGTAGAAAATATTTACACAAATATTACTATGTAATTAGCGTACTCATACACTAGACTCCATACTCATTGGCGCTGATGATGTTACCTAGTTGGATCATGGAACGTCTGCAAGAAAACTACCAAGCTCAGAGAGCAACAAGGACTCCACAATCCTCCTCCTCCTCCTCCTCCTCCTCCTCCTCCTCCTCCTCCTCCTCTCCACAAAACCCACTCCCTATTGGCTCTGATGATGTTACCTAGTTGGATAATGAAATATCTGCAAGAAAACAACCCAGCCCAGAGCTACTGTATATAAATAGGGAGCAAGTCACACCCGCTAGCCCTGATGATGTTCCCTAGCTGGGTCATGAAACGTCTGCAAGAAAACATCTAAGCTCAGAGAGGACCCCACAGTCCTCCTCCTCCCCCTCTTCCTCCTCCTCCTCTCCACAAACCCCACTCCCTTCTAACACTGATGATGTTACCTAGTTGGGTCATGAAACATCTCCAGGAAAACCACCAAGCTCAGAGAGCACCAAGGACCCCACAGTCCTCCTCCTCCTCTATTCCACCCACCCCACTTCCTTCTAATAACTGATGACGTTCCCTGGTTGGCTAATGAAATGTCTGCAAGAAAACGCAGAGCTACTGTATATAAACAGGGAGCAAGCCACACTCATTAGCCCTGATGATGTTCCCTAGCTGGGTCACGAAACGTCTGCCAGCTCAAAGAGCACCCAGGACTTCAGATTCACAACGCTGGATTTTCATTTATGATTTCCAGTCTCTCTGCACCAATAAGCTTCTTCTTTCCACCCTCTCCTCTTGTGGCATTCCTTTCAATCCCCTTTCCTGAGCACGGCATGCCTAGGACTAATAACGATCCATTACTTTAATGGTCCCGTCAGTTTCCTTCCTCTGCTCTCCGGCTCCAAATTATAATGGCAGAGGTCTAACCCGCGCATTATCTTAATTGAGCTTCCGATTATGGGGCACGTATAGTTAAGAAACCGGGACCGCTTAATTTATCATATTTGGATTGGCCCAGTGGGCCTGTTCCAAGTCCCTTAAAAGGTGAGGTGCTTTTAGTGGGATATATGCTGACCCTCAGAATTGTAATTGGCTTGATTTTCTTCAAATTGGAAGAAAGACATCTTTGGTGTGTGTGTGTGTGTGTGTGTGTGTTCCTATCTGCTCAGTCTTTGGCCAAAAACGAAGAATGCAGAGAGAACAAAGTTACTAACTCTCTCCAAGGCATCAACATTACTGACGGAGAATCAAGGTTAGCCAAAAGAACAGGCATTTCCACAAATTAAGTTTGTCCCTTAGCTTACGACCGGTCTTCCCCCCCCCCAAAAAAAGCAGACTCGATTTTTGCTAAGGTGATCCAAGTCAAAAGTAGGACCAAAGAGAGAGAAGGGAAGGTTCTTGACCTCTCAAACCAGGTTTGGGATTGTGGTTAAACCAAGCGTGTTGAAAGTGAAGTGGAAGGAAAGAAAAAAGTGACCAAATGTACAAGGGGGAAAAAATAATAATTGTCCCCTTATTAAATTTAGATCTCACTTTGCAGGGTGTTTCAGCGTTACACAAATAGTCCTGGACGTACAGCCACAATGGGCAGGACTAGAACTCATTGTCTCCTGGGGATTGGCCCAAAGTCACCCATCCGTCTTTCACGTTTAAGGCAGGGAACTAGAACTCCCGGTTTCCCGGTGTCTAGTCTGGTGCCTTAACCACTAGACCAAGCTAGTATCATCTATCCAATAGAAAGTGTTGTTGTTGCTATTACCAAATCTAAAGCAGCCTGATTCTTTTCTAGAATTTCTAGAATTTTGTCCCATCAACCTCGTGAGCATCGTAACATTTTTATTCTTCTTTCCAGCTACAGTATCACACGGGCCTGGCCTCTAGTCTTCTGAATCAGCAGTCTTTGAAGCGGTCAGCCAATCAAATGGGAGTTTCTGCCAAGCGAAGGCCGAAGGCTCAGCCCACCACCTTGGTGTTACCCCCTCAGTAAGTGTCCGACGGGTGCGCGTGTGAAAGGCATTTGAATGGAATCTGGTTTACAAGAGGAATCCAGATTTTTGAGGGTCAGACGTCCTGATGGCTTTCATGCCTAAAGCAGGACTAGAACTCACCGTCTCCTGGTGATTGGCCCAAAGTCACCCAGCTGGCTTCCATGCCTAAGGCAGGACTAGAACTCACCGTCTCCTGGTGATTGGCGCAAAGTCATCCAGCTGGCTTTCGTGCCTAAGGCAGGACTAGAACTCACCGTCTCCTGGTGATTGGCGCAAAGTCACCCAGCTGGCTTTCGTGCCTAAGGCAGGACTAGAACTCACCGTCTCCTGACGATTGGGCGATCCCCTGTCATTGTATTAAAATAACTTAATGTATTTCTTGTGTCTTTTAATAGTATAATATAATAAAATGAATGAATGAATGAATGAGAGGGAGAGAGGGAGGGAGGCAGGGAGGAGGGAAAGATATGGGAGAAGAAAAGGAAAGAAGGAAGGAAGGAAGAGGGAGGGAGGAGGGAATGATATGGGAGAAGAAGGAAGGCGGGAACGAAGGAAGGGAGGGAGGGAATGATATAGGAGAAGGAAGGAAGGAAGGAAAGAAGGAAGGAAGGAAGGGCAAGGGAGGGAATGATATGGGAGAAGAAAAGGAAGGATGGATGGATGGATGGATGGATGGATGGAAGGAAGGAAGGAAGGAAGGTCTTACACTATCAAGGGCTCCTCCTTTGTGGTGATTGCCTATTGGGGCCTGGACGAAGACCATCATCCAGAGGCTCCTGCTGCATTGTGGGATAGGATGGAGCCCCTCTTGGAAGTAGCTGAGATGGGCAGATTCGAGCGAGGGCATTCAAGGACACAGTTTCCATTTGTTTTCGGTTTTCCACCTAGCTGCCACCATTTGCAGACTGACTGATTGCCATGGGTGTGTGTGTGTGTGTATCTAGGTGCGTGCGTGCACATGTGTGTGTTTGTGTGTGTGTGTGAATTTTTCAGCCGTCCTCCCCACTCGACAAAGCCGGCTCCGTGCTTTGTTAGCAAGTTTCTCCCCGTCTCTCCGATTTGCTCATTATTCTCCATCAGGCTGACAAGAAAAATGGAAGGATGGCTGAAATTAAATAATTGCTTAAAACTCCGAGATGAGCTTCTCGTTTCCCACCCACCCCCCCGGACTTTCCTACTGTGTGAAGAAATAGGTTTTGTCTGGTTGGGATGCGATTTAAACAAGGAATCTCAGGCACTTTGGTGGGGGGGGGAGAGAGACCCGGAAAAGAGGGAATAAGAGAACATTTTGTGGAATAGCTTTTCGATTTCTCGCCCTCTCTTCGGAGATTTTGGGAGCACTATGGAACGTGCGCGATTAGATCCTGAAATTTGACAGCTCCCCTAACCAGGTTCCATCATAGTTTGAAAACAAGGGGGGAACAGAGCCAGTGCTGCCCACATTTTATGGTTAAACAATGTGATCCACACAAGCAGATTCTCCAAATCTTTGGCTAGCCCCCTCCCTGTCTTTTTTTTTTTTAAATTACAAGCAAACATCTTTGTTGACCATCTCGCCGAGGTGACTCTAAGTGGCTTACTGTCATATGATCAAAACACAATATAAACCCTTAAACCCATAAATAAAAACATGCATTTAAAATTCAGTTAAGGTTAAAATTCTTTTGGATGGACTGTGGGAGAATAAATTAGGCTCACGTTCACAGATGGGGACTAAATTCAGTCTCTACCATCTGAGATTTGGTGGATGATATGGAAGGATGGAGAAAGAGAGGGAGGGAGGGAGGGAGAGAGAGAGAGAGAGAGAGAGAGGTGTTGTGAATGAGAGAGGTGACGTAAATGGATAGATAGGGGATAGATCGATGGATCAGTGGATCGATAAATAGATAGATTGTGTGAGAGAAAGAAGATGGATGGATGGATGGATGAATAGATAGATAGATAGATAGATAGATAGATAGATAGATAGATAGATAGATAGATAGATAGGATTGGTGTGAAGGACAGAGACAGACAGATAGAGAGAGGAAGGAAGAGATGGATGGATGGATGGACGGATAGATATCTCAATTCTGGATTTAAAATATATTTATGTACTTACTTAATTTTTATATAGCTAGTCAAGGCTTTATTTATGAAAGGCAAAATGGAGATTTCCCCTGGAATCAGAACTAATCAAACCTCAACACTGTCAGCTATGTTTAAATGTAATTCCTTGAAATGGGCTAAGTTTGCCCCCCCCCCTTCTTTGCTCTTCTCTCTTTTTCTCCTCTGCCCCCCCCCCCACAGAAAACCCCCCACAAAGGGCTGTGACTCTTTTCTCTCTTTTTGTCTGCAGAGTAAGAGTCTGGAAACAACTTCTCCTCCAGATTGTAAAAAGCGTTTAGAAACCAAATTCAGTGGAGAATAGACCCACCCTCTCTTGTTTTATGTCGCTCTCCACCTTGAGCTGATAGCCTCCCACTTAATCAAGTTTCCCAGTCATTCTGATCAGTTTTATATGCAACAATCATTCTCGGATTCCAATAACTCTCTTTTTCAGAAGTGCCAAATTTAGTCATGTAATATGCAAGACGCGCAGCCGTTAGATTGACACGCTTAATTAATTTCACAACTAATGCTCGTTTTATGTCTGTAATGTGTCATTGGCCGTAATAAAGAATCTCTCTGAGCTTTCCATGGTCATATCAAGCTGAAGTAGATTAATCTATACTGTTAGCACTTTTTTTGGGGGTGTGGGGGGGCAAAGTACAGTTGGGGATGTCAGTAAAAAACTGGAGAATTTCTTATGGACGAATGGATGAATAGAATGGACGGGATAGATAGATTGAGAGAGATGGAGATAGATAGATAGATAGATAGATAGATAGATAGATAGATAGATAGATAGATAGATAGATAGATAGATAGATAGATAGATAGATAGATAGATAGATAAGGATATATATATAGATATAGATATAGGTAGATATAAATGATAGATGAGATAGATAGATATAGATGAGAGAGAGATGGATATAGATAGAGGATAGGTATAGATGATAGATATAGGATAAATGAGATAGATTAGATAGATAGAAATGATAGATAGATAGATAGATAGATAGATAGATAGATAGATAGATAGATAGATAGATAGATAGATAGATAGATAGATAGATAGATAGATAGATAGAAATAGATAAGATAGATATAGATATAGATGAGATAGATAGAAAGATAGAGAGACAGAGAGATGGATGATAGATAAGATAGATATAGATGATGGATGAGATAGATATAGATGAAGGAGAGATGGATATAGATAGATGATAAATATATAAGATAGAGATATAGGTGGTTGATAGATATAGATAGATAGATAGATAGATAGATAGATAGATAGATAGATAGATAGATAGATAAGATGGATAGATTTTAATTTATAGATAAAATTTGTCCTGTATCAAGCCTTTGTTATCTTCCTCTATCTGTACAACTTTGTAGGAATTTTGCACAATCCTAACTGTGGGTGCAAACAACGACTTGCTGTAGCAAAAAAGTCACAAATGATATCTGATCAAGTAAAGGCTTCTATTCCGGAGAGACAGAAAAAGCTAAACTTCGAGTAATAACTTCTACTCTTCTAAATATCTTTACTACAACACTGATTTTGGCTTCTTTCTCTCTCTCTCTCTCTCTCTCTCTCTCTCTCTCTCTCTCTCTCTCTCTCTGTGTGTGTGTGTGTGTGTGTGTCGCTCTCTTTCTCTCGCACTCACAGACCCTTACTGGCAAATGCTGCATTCTGTAACAATATTCATTAAGCACCGCCGAGATAATATGCAATAAAAGAATAATCCACAGGCCTGGGTCGCTGCTTCCTCCTGGAAGAGTTAATATAATTAAAGATTAAAATACTGTGTGCTTTTTTCGAGACGGAGATCCCTTTTTTATACAAAAGGGGAATTGCATTAATAAGGAAGAGATCATTTTCCAATAACGGGCGGTATGAAAGGAGATGTTTTTGATATCCGCTCGTGCGGCTTATCATGCCGTTCCTCGCAGATTGCATTTTTGGGGACATTAAATTAGCCAGTGTAAAAAAAACCAAAAAAAACCAGAGTGGATTTTGGAAGAACGATATCAGCTGGGGGAAGATACCTCTGCATTTTGTTCAAGTGGGTCTATATAATCAACTTAGGGGGCTATCTGAGGATGGGGTGGCCACTAATTTAAATGATTTTCAGTGGGACTTTAGGCGTAAAGGTGGTCCTTGGCTTACAACGATTCATTTAGTGTCCGTTCGAAGATACAACGCCACTGAAAAAGGAGACTGATGACTTTCACACTTACGACCGTTGCAGCCTCCCCCGGGTCACGTGATCAAAATTCAGACGCTTGGCCACTGACTCGTATTTGTGACGGTTGCACCGTCCCGGGGTCACGCGATCCCCATTTTGCCACCTCCCGACAAGCCCAAGTCAACGGTCATAAGTGGAGGACGATCTGCATTTATTCCTTGCGTTTTCACTGCAAGGGTCCTCGGCCTGAAATTTTACCAGTAAAAATGAAAAAAAAGCCAGCTGGGTGACTTTGAATTACTCGCCAGGAGACGCAGGATGGGCAGGCAGAGAAGAATTGGGATTTTTCGGTTTCTACCAGGTCACCTGGCAGGGCGGCGCCAAGCCAGCGCCGAGGCTTTGCGGGTGCCCTCCGAGTGTGCTTAATAAGAGCAGGATTCTCCGAGGAAAACTGTATTTTTTCTCCTAGCCAGGAAGCATTCAAAATGCACGGGACATCAGAAGCCTACAAGGAATCGCTCCTTCCTTCGTTTTAAAGTCCCTTATTGGGAAGGCGATCTGCTCCCTGTCAGCAATTCCTGATAAGTGCAGTATGATGTATGACTCCGTGTTCCTTGCCATTTCGCTGGTAGCTACGATTTCAGAAAGAGAAAGTCAGAGGGCAAACATAATCTTGATCCGGCCAACTTCGATGGAGCCTCTAGGTCTGGGTCCA